TGAAGCTACATTTGTACTATCAACAGTTGATTGAACATCATTTGGAAATAGCTTTAGAAGATCATCTTTATTAAATGTTGCTGAATTATCCAGCGTTGTTGTTGTCGAACACAACGATAACAAAACAGAACTTTCCCATATTAATGTAACACATAATTTATTTAAATTTTGTAATACACGAAGACCTCTCTCAGTACCCCAATGACTAATTAGTATGCTACGTACATCATTTTGAGTTATTTTACATAACGAAACTAATAACGAAATGTGAGAATGAACGAATGATAAACGATGTAATAGTGGAGTTGACGATGATTGATTTATGGCATCGAGTGGATCAATAGAAGACGATGAAACGGCTTGAGCTAATTCATTTATCAATAATGATCCATCATATTGTCGTCCTTGATAGAATGATGTTAATGACTGCAATATTTCATCAAGATTTGTTATAGCCAGTTCGATTACTTTATTGTCTTTGACGAGTGTCTAAATACAGAAACATCAACCGTGATTAGAAGTAAACATAACCGTATATTAAGTTATTTGTGATCTTTTTATCGATCTTGATCTACACAAACAGAATGTTTCTTTCTTAAAATACAAACTTACGAGAGTTGATTTACATAAACCGGCAGCACAAATACAAGCTTGACTACTGGGGAAATCAATTGGCAAATTTTTCATATGTAAAATATTTAGCAACGGTATCAGACCGCCTAATTTAACAAATTCTTTTCCGTGATCATCGGTTGTATTGTTGCTAATAACACCCTCGACAAAACGCATTATATTTGTTATATAATCTAACAATGGCACAGGTATTGGCTCTTCTTTTTGATGCTGTTGTGTGATGGTTTGCTGTAGACGACTATCTGCCGTTGTCATTGTATTCGCTGTTGGTAAATTAGAAACGGCGGAAGAATCAGTTAGAGGTGTACGAGTCGATGTCGGTTGTTGTTCACTAGTCTGTGGTTGGTCTTGATTATTAGCTGCATGTAAATTGACTAAACGATTAATCGGTAATTCATCATTTGTGGCTTCATCGTCCAAGTCATATTCATCATCAGACGATTGAGCATTACGATCATTATTATTTACAGCTGCGGTACGTGTTGCTCGATTTGTTATTCGTATTGTATCGATTGTTTTTGTTGATGAAGAAGAGGAATGAGATTTCTGACAACAATATTTGGGATCATTACCCATTTCAACAAGTTGCTCAAGAAGTCGAATAATCGATTTCATTGCTTCTGTACGTAAACTAACTTGATGTCGCATGAGTTCGTCGACAGCATTTCCTAGACTAGAAGCTGTTCCATACGCTAAAATTATAGAAAAAAGCTCAGTCAACTGAAGATTGAAATTTCTCTCAAGAATACGAAAGCTAAGGCATCTCACAGAGGTGAGTAGTTAATAAAGACGAACGAGATGTTCTTTTGACGTTCTTATCGAGAAAAGCACTCCTATTTCCGTGACAGTTTTTGTGACTCGTCAAACTTCCTTTTATGGTTCTTTTAGAAAATCAGAGATTAATGAAAATATTTAACGTACCTGTATCAGCACCACGCCTTCGTCGCATAGCTGGTAAATATTCTGGTGATAATAGTACACGAAATAATTTTTCAAAGGGTTTACATTCCATAAAATTTTCTAAACCTCTTGTATTCAAACATAGAGCACTGAATACATTTGGTAAAGATGCTAAAACGTCACGTGCTGCTGGCACATCTTTTTTCAGTAGAGCATACATTAAAACATCAGTTAAACCGTTATCTTGTAACGATGATAATTGTGATGGTTCTTGAAAGATGAACGATGTAACAACGTCTGTGGCCAAATGGAACAACGATGGACCATAATATTCAGCATTACTAATGATATGTTTCAAAGAATTTGGCAATGAACCGTCCATAATGTGACGAGTTGATTCGACCATTGTCGGTTCAGAAAATGCTTTTTTTAAATAATTTAGTATAGATTTTAAGAGAGCAGCACGCTGATGATAACACGAGAGGCCAAGTTTCGGTGCTGTAGTTGTGAATTCAAATTTGTCGTCATTTGTCTGTTGATCTCCATCAAAATTTGTGGTGGTTGTTTTGACTGGCGTGGATATATTTTGCTGTGTATCCATATCGGTTGATGTTTGTTGCTCACCTGATGGATTTGCTTCTCCTGGTGTTCCTGGTGAATTCAACTGATAAAAATGAGATGAATCTGATCCAGAAACTTGAGATTGTTGAGTGTCAAGTTTTGGTGTGCGAATAACGAACGGCTGTTCTTTGCGACACTGATTTACTTCATGCTAAAAAACCCAAATAAACAGTTCGGACATACAACTCATATAAGTCGTTGTAAACGAGTTGGTGTTTAAATGAAGCTTTTTACTCGTGGTCCGTAGTGTAACACAAGTTGGTAATGCTGTAAATCCATGTAGAGAATATTCAGCGACCGTACTTGTGTTATATTATAGCTCTGTTTTTTGACAATTCTATTCACATTTTTTTGACATAGAAAAGCTTCGATTAGAGCAGCGCAGACTAGGTTTCGTACATCGTACTTTCAGTTTACAAGTCCAAGATAGAAGTAACTAAACTACAGATTTTTTTTTCTTCCTTACTTCAAGTCGGTTGATAAACGCTTGTAAACCATTATTGGCTTGAAATGATGTGACTTCCAGAGTTGTTATTAAGTCAATCACTCGCACAGCACGTGTGACAAACTAAAAATGATATCAGAATAGTAACATAAAACAGATAATCGGAAAAAGACAATACCATTATAAAATCTTGAGATTCATCATAATAATTAACAACTTTGATCAATGCTTGCATAATACCGCAATTAACTAACGCTTCTCCACCTGAAAATACGAAAAGACATTAAGTAAAAAGACTTTTTGCTAAGATTAGCGTAACGTACCGGTTTCATAACTTGCCATATGATAAAGAAAGGAAAATAACGCTGTCGATAATGTTTGTGGAAAACGGTCAGCATTAGGTCCTGTAAAATCAAGAGCAAACACTATCAGACAGCAGACTAAACAAGAAAGACACGAGACTAACCGGTTAATTTGTCAATACACTGTCTAACAAGCGTTGGCAAAAAGCCATGGTATGAATTTGCTTGCGTTGCTTCGATAATCTCTTGTAGTCGAGGTGGATGCCTATAAAATACAGAAAGCGTCATAACAGAACAGCAGAAACGTCTTTACTTACTTCGTAGTTCTTTCAAGATGAATTATAGAAGTCAGTGTTTTCAATGCAGAAGCTTTGATGTCCTAAATGAGAAAAAACATGCATTATGTTTTTTGTTTGGCTGTAGTGGAATGAAAGAAGCAAAGTAACAGTTTTTTTATCATGCAAAAACCACTTCGACAAATTTACAGTAAAAAGCTATTTCATAAAGTGATTTTATTTGTTCAATTCGAAACCTTCATAACTCACAAACACTTTTCCACCATACAATCAATGATACAGCAAACTTAAATTTTGACTGTTTACTTTTCTACTTACAGTTAGTGTTGTATCTCTGACATTCAAAACTTCGACAAGCTCTTCAATTAGTCCGTCATAAAGAACATTATTTGCATCTTGAATGGCAATTGAATAGACTAAACCAGAAAAATACATATGTGCATCATCGTTCTTATCTTACAGAAAGAAGTTAATATCACCATACCTAATATCGACAGTGCTTGTAAACGTGCTTGTATGCATAATAAACGTTGTTCAAAATTCGGAAAGGCATAAGCCAAACGAAGATGAGTAAATAATTTAATCTAAAAAATAATCAAAAGCAGAATTAGTCTTAATAGCCAATGGTACTCAAAACATGTACAATACCTGTTTATCTTCTACTAACGTAGTGTGTTCAGATAAAACTGTTTCCATGACAGCCGCTGCATTTTCTCCGGCTGAATGTACATTTGGCACATCAATTTGTTTTGATATTTGTTGTTGCACCTAAGAAAGAAAAATACAAAAATACTGATATAAAGAGAACATTTAAAACTAATTAACTTACTCCTCCAGATGATGGTTCTGGTTGTGTGACATAAACAAAATGTAAGTTTATAGCATGTTCAGGAAACTCCTAATAAAAAATAAAAATTAAGAGCTTGCAGCTAAATAATGAAAAAAAAGCTTTTTCTTACGGATGGATCTCGTATACTACAACATCGTGCTAAGTCAAAGCCATTTTCTTTTCCACCCCATGTCTATAACAAAAACAACAATAACATGTACTTCTCCGAGAATTGCTTTTTTTCTTACCTCAGCGAGATAGATTAAACGTGCAATGAGTGCTTGTTTTTTTTCTGATTGTAGACGAGTAATAAAATTTGAGCGTTTACTAAATACATATAACAAAGATAATACACTAAGTACAATATGGACATCTGACGATTGTAATAATAAAATTAGATATTCGATTGAATTATATAAATGTCGTGAATATGAATGTTCAATTAACAGAGCCGTAAAATGAAGTATATCAAGAATAAGAAATTTCAGCTAAAGTATAAAGCAAAAATGATAAAGATGTGTATCTTGATAAAAGACAAATTTATTAATTAAACATACTTCTTCATTTTCTTTCCTATCACAGTTTAACATCCATGTGCCAGTTTTTAAACATGCTTCTTCCAATATTGAATCAAATAAATCTAATGCATCAATCCAATGGTATAATTCACACTAAATAAACAATCAATAAATAATATCATGTTATGCTATTAATCCAGCGTCATGTTACAACCAGACATAAGAAATGGCAAAACTTTGCTTTAGAAATAAAATATTCAGTGTTGAAAGCGAGGGCAGGTCACATCTACAGTGTTAAGAAGGCAATCAACGAGAGTTCTGTTAATTTTATAAATATTTATCAGGAACAACAAAACATGTTTAAAAGTAGTAAGTAAATTCAGAGACAAAATATAGACAAAAAAAAAAATGATGAGCAAAATCAAGGAGCATCTTTAAACAAACTTTTGTGAATTTCTGTAAGAAAACTCGCTAGAAATGAAGTGTCTAAAATTTCCTTTTATTTAGAAATATTTTTATATTTTATACAAACCTTTCCGATATGCCACAAGGTTATTGGTTGTAATAATTCACGTAGTTGTTTTCGGTCGCAATTTTTTAACTTTTCAATAAAATTTTTACAATCTGCAGGCTGTCAAAATACAAATCAAAGAATGACACAATGTAAGTGATGACAAATATGTAGATAAGGACTACAAAAATACTCACTGGTTCAAGCAGATATTTTTTGAGTTTCGATCGGTCGATTTTCATTTTTTGTTCAAATAAATATCTATAAGAAACTATGAAAATCAACGTAATTTCTAAAGCAAATCCGGAAAAACTTTGCTAAGACTTTGCAGCCAGAATCGAATGAATATAGGTTTTTTCTCTTTTTTAAGTGAGCTGCGACTCCCGCAAAAGGTGCTGTCTAATTCTACTTTTATGATCACTTGTGTGAATACTTTACAACTGAATGTTGTAATACTCTGTTATTGTGCTTGTGAATATACTCAAAATTCACTGTCGTATATTACATTACATGTGTATGAATCATTGTTAGGCATCTTGATGAATAGAGAGAAAAGAAAGCGTCAGAAAGGCCAGCCAATAATTCAAAAACTTCTCCACGTCTCTGTACGTGTTTAATCAAATTCTTCCGAGAGAGTAAAATAAACATATGAAAAAATGCGTCATTATTTTCATTTACTTTTTATAATACTAATGCCGGGAAGTGAAATAATTTTTTTAATCCAATCAAATGTTGTCTCAGGACTTTTAAAAAAGAGTAGTTTTGTCGAATAATTAAATTCCAAATAGAACAATAACCAACTATAATAGAGATTGTATGTTGAACACGTGACATCAAATGCTGTAAGAAAAAACGGACCATGCACCGTCCCAATGAAAGTTTGCACAGTTTAAGTAATGCCGGATGGGTATTTTGTGGACGACAAAAACTTGTGGTCATTAAGAAAAAACAAAAATAATTATTTGAAGAATTTATGTATATTAATTGAAGATATTCGTCTTTTTTATTTCTGGTTAATTTAGTTTTATTCTTAATATAAAAGCTACTTTCTCCACTATTATGTGAGTGTGTAATAGTATTTTGAAAGATCTAAGACTGATTATGACTAATTACTTTCAGAGTCTTGTCTACAACTATGCATTATTGTTCGGAAAAGAAGGTTAAATAATTATGAATGATAACAGTGATTTAACGTATGTATCTTGCCATTTATCGACAAATAATCAGTATTTAATAGTACGCCATTGAGTCATTGAGTTTTGTAGTATAAAGAAAGAAACCTCTTTAGAATTAATTAAAAGTCAGTATAGATTCTCTCGCTTATGCCTTTCTACGATCACAAAATCATATGAATTTAAATGGATTCTATGGTTCTTACCCTCCAAATCACAATAATCGATAGCAGAAAAAGTGTTTCCGATTATTTCTTATCAGAATGAAGGAATTTAACTGACAGTTAGTGGGCAAAAACAAATTTCCAATTGCCACTCGATGAAAGATCCGACGAACATTTTTTACGATCACCACTTTTTCTCATTCTAATCCCAAACACTGTGTTGCAAGAATTGTTACTGAAAGCTTTTGTGTACCTAAATGTTTTACATTTCTGATGGAATTTTATTTGCTTCTTCAGTGATGAAGTCCGATATAACTGCACACCCCTTTTCGTTGTGATTTTTACTAAGTAAGAAAATCATAGATATCCATAACAGTTCTAAAAAAAAGTCAGAATATTTTAAATTTTAAGATTTTTTTTAGTTTTGCAATGCAAGCAGCGTTTGCTTTCCGTTTATTTTTGGTTCCTAGTTTTTCGCTTGGGTACTGGAGATGGTCATTACCTTTTTTCCAGAGCTAATTTTACTTGTAAGAAAATATAATGCTTAGTAAGCAATCAGATACTGGGATCACTAGGAACATGCTGCGTGCTTTGGTACTCTACTGTTTCGTAGATAGTGTATGTCTTTCATTTTAGTACTTTCGATAAAGTACAACCGCCACCAGTTGTTTTGAAATTGAAAAAATTTGACGACACTGGACTTGTTCATCATTCATCAACGTAGGCAGATATCTTATGCTCTGTTTGATCGGTGAATCTCCTCAACCTGAAATTTTTAGAAGATCATCTACGGATTCTGTAGACGGGAATACGAATGTAAGTGGCAATGGATCGTTGCGTGTACGAATAAAAAAGTCTTACCTTAATGGCGATCACAGTGACGATGATTATACGAAGTGAGGCTATTTATCCAGTCCATAATGCACCATATATCTTCAAGTTGTCTATGTTTATTTTAGTAATTCACCTGCAGAATCGGGTAAACCGCAAGTGAAACGATCTAAAAAGTCATCACTATCCCCGTGTGATAATATAAAGTATGTTTGGCACTACATACGACTTTTTCCTTGTAAATAGCTCTATTCTATTATATTTAGCACTCTTTCATCGTCAGTTTACAATGATTTGGGTTCGAATCAAAAAATAAAAGATGTTGAAAAGCGAAAAACAACAGAAATGACACCGTTATCTGAGTAAGTGTACAGATAATGGTTTCACTCCAAGCTCAATCACTCTATCACTATAGATTGAAACCAGAACATTGTATGATTGCTGAACAGTCACCTGCATCACCATTGGTCATTCGGTTACGACGATATTCAGAAACGCCAGTAGACAATTCGAACAGGTGATAATGACTTTATTGTTTCGAGATAGAAGAATTTTCGGTAGAATATATATTGTGTCATACAGCGAGTATTTTCGGTCTCAATAAGAGTTGATCCATCGTTGTTAGTTGAGTGCACTGTTTGACTATAGAAAAATGAATACGTTGGCAGTCGCTTTTGATCAATGACTTTATAAATAGAATATCGTTGGATTGATGGTCATATCGGACTAAATTGTCTCGAACGCCTTACCGACCATCATATAACTGAAAATACTAACTACAGATGCAAGAGGTTATCCTCATTTTTTTTTATGGCAACAATTGTTAGTGTAAAACATAGGGCTATCATTGTTTCGGGACATGATCATAGTCATAACATGTCTTTAAATGTGAAATTACGCTTGTATATAGTTGCTGTTACGAAAAAGACTTACATAACAGACTAAACTGTCAAATTCAATGAATAACATAAGCTTGTTATACTTTTATTTATTATTTTATCCAATAAAGATATACGACCATATAGTTCAATCATATGGAAGAATTTTTCTTTTCTTTTCTGTTTTTTTTCTCTTTCTTTCCTTCCAAACATAGAAGTTATTCACAACTATAGACGTCTTTACAGCTGGTCTTTTCATTAATTCTATTAAACTGAACATAATACATAGATATGTCCAAACGTCTCTGTATTGTACTGTTAGTAGACACTAAAGAGAAAAAAAAGATACTTCATTTGGGAAAAAATTCCAAGTCGAACTGATATTGTTTTTTTTCCAGTTATTTACATAATGAAACATCATTATGCACTGATCAAAATCGATCTCAACTATTATTAAAATTAAAGAAGAATGAACATGGAGAATTGATTAGTGAACATTCTCACCAATCACCCACAAATCATCAGCATTTAACATCCGATACAAATAATATGTCATTATCACACTTTATTTCATCATCTTTTATGGATACAAATGATAGTATATCTCCGATAATACCAACAGATTTAATGAAACCAACTGACCAAAATAATATTCCTTCATCTCCACTACCAATGTCATCTATACAATCAATAATTCAACCAACACCAGTGATGAATAATGAGCCACACATTACAAATGTTTTAACCAATTTCTCAATGTCAAATGGATCACCATCATCCCCAATAACAAATTCTCAATGGGCAGCTATGAACAGTAATAATCCCACCACTTCTCCTATGTAAACCAAAGTCTGAGTCAAATAGAGGTTGTTTTTTTACAGTTTTCTGTTTTTCCTTAGGTCATCCATGGACGTAGAATCATTACCATCATCGTCAAATAGCCAGCCTGATGTATCGAAGTCAGCTTCATCGAAAGATAAATCAGAAACGTAGGCTTTGGAGACAACCAATTTAGTAATATCATTGACTTCTTCTTTATTCTTAGACATACAAGAGAATTATTAGATGAAGCGCTAGACAGTGTAAAAAATGTTTTGATGCAAACGTTTAAAAGAAATCTTGAAAGTGGAAGTGAATTAAGGTTAGTAAAAGAAAATCAGTTATATTTTTTATTTACTGTATTTTTCTTCTCCTATTTAGTGCTTTAAAAAATACATTGGGATCTGATGAAGTGGCGGAAGCGTTTCTAGCTAAACTAAGACAGTCACTAAAACGTGAATTAGAACAGGAGCATGAACAAAGAGTAGAGTAAGTGAAATATTCTTCTTTGTTTAATTTTGGTAATGTATGATTTCTTTTCATTATTAGAACAAATAAAGAACCAGTGAATCCGAGTTCACCACCTTTGTCAACGAGTATTGCTACGCCACCAACGCCAGTGTCTCCTGTTGTTGTTACCAAAACAGTAAAGAGAAAATCATCAACACCATCAACAAATCCCAATCGTTTTGATGGTGCGAGTGAAGAAGAATTGACGAAACGTATACTATCAGATATATTAGAGCCAAACTTAGATATTGTCTTTGTAAGTGCATCAATACGATCATACACATGACTTAATTAATATTTTTCTGTTTTGATTTTAGGTTGGTATTAATCCAAGTTTGTATGCTGTACATAAAGGTCATCATTATGGTGGGCCAGGAAATCATTTTTGTAAGATCATTCTAAAAATAAACATTTTTTTTTCAAAACAGTCTCTTGTTTTCTTCTTAAAGGGAAACTATTGCATATGTCTGGTCTTATACCGAATGCGTTCAATGCGAATGATGATCATCGTTTGCCGCAGTATGGTATCGGATTTACAAATATAGTTCAACGACCAACAAAAGCTGCTTCCGATGTGACTAAGTAAGCTGTGATTTTATTTTATTTTCTAAATTTGTATTTTTCTTTTCTCTCCACGCAGAGATGAAATACAACTTGGTGCTGAACTTTTACTAGAGAAAATCAAACTTTACAAACCAAAGATTGTTGCATTTAATGGCAGAGGTATACTTCGATTTTTGTCGAGTTAACTCAACATTCTAAATATATGCGAATTTTAGGTATTTATGAAGTTTATGCTGGTAACAAACATTTTCATTATGGAAAACAACCGGAACTATTTCCGGGCACGGACACCGTAAGTAGTATCTCGTAATGAGAAATTTTGAATGGTTAAGAATATGGTATAAATTGCATCTTCTTTTATATACGATTTAGCATGTATTTGTTATGCCAAGTTCAAGTGCTCGTTGTTCTCAGTTGCCGCGTGCTGAAGACAAACTTCCATTTTATGCTGCCTTAAAAAAATTGAAAGAATTTGTTAAAGGAGAAAGAACAGAATTGAACGAAGGAGAAATAACGTTTCCTGATATAAAGATAAAAGATACAGACGACGTATTACAAAAAACAATTATTCGTATTAGTAATAAACCGTTTAGTGAATTATCATCCGATGCACTGAAATCCTATGGTGATAAAATACCAACACAACAACTTGCAACAACGCATCCTGTTAAATCGGAACCGTTGATATATGCCTCACCCACCTCATCATCATCGTTAAATAACAATGATCTTGCAACACAAACAATGTCTATATTGAACGATAATTATACGAACTATAATAATAATTTATTATGGCCTGATTCAACGCGATCATCATCGTTGTCTTACACACCACCTTGTTCTGATAATCAACAGAGAATATATTCACAAAATTCTACAACATCATCAAATCAGTTGTGTAACATCCCTCAAAAATCTATTTTAATAGCGTCAAATAAACCACAGCAACAGCAAACTTCGTTGACAAATTTGATTAATTCGAATGGATTTTCAAAATCAAGCAACGTTGCCAATAATAAACAGATGAATGATCTTGTTATCAAAGTTCCTTCGGCTACATCATCTTCATCGATTATACCTAATGGTCAAGAGCAACAAAATATCTATTCTCTACCAAATTCATCGCAATCATTACAAATTGTGCTTCAACAACCGTCAAATTCCTATATTGTACAACATCATCCACAAACAGTTTATGTCGGACAACATTCACAGCAGCAGATATCTCAGCAACCCACACAACAATACTCTCACCTTTCGTCTCCGACCATGAATCTAGGTATATCTTGTTTATGACATTCTAGTTGACAATTCTTAAATTGCTAAATTTCTCTTAAATTTTATTGTTGACAGTGCATTTAGAGTAGGTGGAAAAAGTTTAGGTTTTAACCAAATGTTGCTCTCTTTTCAGGCTCAGTCAATAACAACACTGGAATAAGGTCAATAATGACCAATACTTCATCGATTGTACAGCATCATCATCAACCCATAACTGTCAATCAAACAGTATTAGTTCCATCTTCAATTACACTTGATTCTTCGAATGAATATCAACAACGAAATTCTCCTATGGCAAATTCGATTCATTCTATCGTACAAAATAGTAATAACAATACGTCTTACTCTCAAATAATATCTCGTCAAATAATGAATTCAAATGAACCAACGCCATTGAGCAGTGGAATAGCTAATTCATCCGCATCCCCAGCGTTACAACGTTGTCTTACACCTATTCGCCCTCAGCCATGTAGTTCAGCAAGCAGTATCTCTTCTCAGTCATCCACATTTTCATCATCTTCATCAAATTCTAGTCATGTTGATATTCAATATCAACAACAACAACAACAACATCAGTCTTCTCGTATAAACATCCAACCACAAATACACACAAATAAAGTTCGTCTATTACGACCGGCCGGTGAGCAACAACCAGCAACTATTTATTTTAATAGTTTTGTTAGTCAGGCTAACAGTACAAGTACAATTAACGGACAAACACAATTACCTCCTTCACCATTTACTTCAAAAATTTCCGCACCTCCAAATCAACAACAAACAATAGCACCAAAAGTTTCTGTTGCTCCGGTCAGCACAGCTACAACAACAATTTCGACAATCACAGTAGGGCAGCAGTCAAAAGTTACCACACCAGCTCCATCATCCTCTCAAACGGATAAGCCTACGACTGCCACTCGTCCTTCAACAATATCATTACCCCCATCAATTATTCCATCAACGAGCTATGATGACTGCTATTTTGCACGTTACGAAAGAGATGTGAATAATTATGATGGTATGAAATTTTCTTATTTAATTGATGATTTGACATCATATAATAAATACAAGCGAACAATACGTTATGTGTCATTGAACGATTTATGATGAAATTAATGAACAACAAACAAATTTCATTTTTATTTTGTACAGATCGTTTTTTTTTTGCGTGTGTCATTTAGTAGCTCTATTCACTGTGAGCATTTCGTTCCTCCTTCAAATGACTTGTTTTTGTTCGTTTGATCTCTTTTGCCGTGTTTTTGTATGACTTAAAATGAATGATGATTGTATAATCTAAGATCTTTCTTATTCACTGTGCATTAATCTCTCTCTCTCTCTCTCTCTCTCTGTTTTAGTTCGTAGATGTAAAAAAATTGTTTTCTATCGTTTTTTTTCTGTGTAATGGAATCTCTCGTCTGCGAATGAATAAGTCACCTAAAAATATTCTCGAAACTCTTTTTCCATCAGTGACTTGTAAATATAGTTTCATCGAACCATTTTGACCATGCAATAGATTATTTTCTTTGCTGCATGTTTTGTGGCTCTCGGGCATTTTTTTATTATTGTGTTTTGCTTTGTTGCGTTTATTTCATAATTTACTTTATTGTGCATAATTTGTTTTTTTCTTGTTTATTTCATATATACATAGATATACATGCAGAAATGCATACACACGTACACATACCTACTATCTCTGCAATAAACAAACGTATTTCGTACAGAGTATTTGTAAGTTGTTGATTTTATCGAAAAAAACGTGACCCTAATTAATGAAGGATATCGAACTGTAGAAGGTTTCCTGCTTGAGGAGTGAGAGTAAAGATTATAATGAGGAGAAAGGAAACATTTTCTCTTTTTCTCTTTGATAGATATGAAGCTGTAACAATTAACGAGTGAAGTTTTGCAGGATTAATGTTATCAGCTCTTGTTATAGGTGAATCATTATAGTATCTCGAACTCACAATCGCAAAAATATGTCATTTAAGTGTTCTTTCTTGCTTAATATATTAAATTTGTTACGTTTAAATTAAAATAGATGTCGTTTAATCATAAACCAGCTTCATTAATATCTTTTAACCATCAACCATCATTTCAAGTCTATCGATATCCGAATAGTAATAATAATGATGGTATGAGATGCGATTACCAAAACGAACCGCAATACAATTATTATAATAACAAGTATCGAAATGATAATTATTTTTCGAATTCATCCTATTATCAGTATAATCATAATTTAGAATATTCGAACGCAAACTGTAATTACACAAACTTTTCAAATATTTCGAATAATCAAAACTCGTATTTAACATCGTCACCGGTGTCATCGTCGTCCTATAATTCTTCATCATATAATTGGCAGAAGTCTCAAACAGAAAAAAACTATTCACAAAAGGGAGCTCCGCGTCATCCAAAATATGATCGAAATAACCCATTTCATTTTACTTCACAAGCTGTTACTACCACGGATACACGACGACAACCAAAGAAAAATGATTCAAGAATAAAAACTAAGGCAAAACGTTTGCGTGAATTAGCCAAACTAAAAAAACACACGATAACACCATCTATACTAAATACAGCAACAAATCCACTTGAATCATGGAAAAAATCAGTAAAAAAAACAAATATCAATGAAGGACTAGAACAAAAATCACAATATTTAGAAACAATGTTACGCTTAAAACAGAAATCATCCATATCATCGTCAACATTTGATCGAACAAGGTATAAACTTTAATCTACTAGTGAATGTAACCGGTGATCCATAAGAAATCACCCATTGAGTATTTCGATCGTAACTTTCTCCTCAGATCCTCAACATCCCATTCTTTCTCTAAAACAAACGCCTTGAAATTTTCTTAAAAAACTCGCATCGACTTTATTTTAAAGTGTGCAATTAGAAACTTGTTCGGCTACACGCAGAAGATCAAAAAACGGCACCATATAACTTATTTTTTAGTGAATTGGCTTTTTTTTTGGATAATAGCGAGTCAGATATTTACTGCAACAGTGTAATCTCTTAATGCCATCAGATATATTCTATATCTGAATATAACAAATATATAGTACTTCTTCGCAACGGTATTGATTTGAGGGTGTTATGAAAGGATATCGTCCAGAAATGTTAACTTTTGGCAAAACGAGAAAAAGTAGAAAAATGCTGAGTAACTGGTGGAAATGGAAAAATTCTGTTGATAGACAGAAGAGTAATCTTTTCTAGGGCTCTGAAATGGCTGGCTAGACGTTTCGACATCTCACAGACGATTGAAAACTGTTTCATTAGAAAGTTGTTTATTTTAGATTTGTCTCTTTGTTATTCACATAAGGTTTCACTTTTACATTTTACAATTAACCACTCAATGTCACTTTTCTAGAGAATTTCAAGACGTATGTTTTAGAGAAAGAAATGAGTAGTGAGAAAGGGAAGGAGGGGAAGTGATGACTGAAATACCACGTAGATGATTTCTTATTCTTATTCTTCTACAAAAATTTTTCTGTGTTTTTTAGATTTGCTGATGATGAAACATTAACAAATACGACGGGAGTGACTAACACATCAGTTGAGACATTAACACAATTAGAGTTAATCAATAATATACATGAACACTCAGATCTCGCTAGAATAGAAAACTTTTTATTTAACAATACTAATGAAATGGCCACTCAGCCACCACCGCCACTACAACAGGAACAAATGCCATTATCATCGGTAAATAAATTCACGTCTGTAAAGGATCTGGATTACCCACTACTTCTGATATTTAGACGGTTGTAATCAATGTCGAACATCATGAAACTAAACAAAAGGAAATTGTAAGAAAACCCGGTCAAGGCTTTCTTATTGATTGTGATGAAGATGATGTAGAAGAACAACAGGAACCGTCAAACTCTGAGGAATTAAATGAGGATCAACTCGAGCGAATATTATCAGATTCAGTGTTAACTGTTCCAGACACCAATCCAATATTCAAAAAGAAATTGAAAAAGAAGAAAAAATTGCTTATACGAAGTAAAAATGAACCAGAAAAGAAAAAGAAAAAAGAGCAAATAGCTACCGAAGAAGAATCATTATCAAATTGGATAGTCGAATTTCCCACTACATCAACGACAGATGATCATTCGGTAACTACTACTACTGCTACCACTACTACTACTACTGCAGCTGATATGGAACTTTTGAACAGCATGCTTGACTATGATAATTCTTCTACAAATGTTCATTTTCAACTATTATCATCCAATGAGAAATTAAACCGTCCTCATGTCGACATGATATTGACTATGATTAAGGATCAACAAGAACAACTAAAAAAACTACGATCATGTGTTATGATGGCATTAGGTATTTCACCTAATTCTAGTCGAAAATCAGCAACATCATCAACAACTAAAAAAATAAATTCATCAGATATTAGTGAAGATCTGATTAAAACATTTTTGAGTGCGCAGCAAACCTTTGGATGTTGGCTATGTTCAGGAAAAACATTTAGTGAAATGAGTGTACAAACAGATTGAAGAAGATAAGTTAAACATACGTTGTTTTTATTTATGTATATTATGCAGAAAAATGGTCGATTTTTTTCTTCTAAACAACGTACCAAAACAGTTAGTATTTAATGTTTTTTATTCTGTTATTGATGTACAGTTTTACTTCTAAAAACTTAATTCTCTCACTTTATTTCTTTTCGTTTTTTAACTATCAGATATTTTTTTTTTTTGAATAAACTTGATAGATCGCATTTCTATATATTATCATTACTTCGTTCATTTATGTCAAAAAATAGAAACTAGCTGTAGAAAGAATTTTTATGCCAATACAAATTTCTCATTATATGCGGTAGTTTAATTTTATGTTCTCTTTTTCAGTTCATTTACGGAGACTTCTACGACTGCTAATCTTTGTGGTCCGATAATGTCATTTCCTGCGTCTGTTTCACACAATCAAGATCAAGAAATGCAAGTACCAAGTGCTGAAAATGATCAACAGCAGTCAGTTACAACAACAGTGTCGTCGAACACCACTAGTGATGATACCGAAGCATTTGGCTATTTTCTTCAAGCTATACAAAAACAACAACAAAAACTTGCATGGTTACAGGATAAAGTTGTTGAATTGCTAACTGATGAGACAACGGGACAAGAACATATCCATAGAGCATCGGCAACATTAGCAGAAACAAATGATTGTTTCAACGAAGAATATAAACAATCGTCAACTGATTTAAAGTAAATGAAGCAAAAAAAGAAAAGAGTGTCAACTTTCATAAATAAAATTCAATGGGATTATTTGCACTTTTTATTTAAGCTCTAAAAGTCAACAATCACCATCTTTTGTTGATAATCCACCGAGATCTTCACGTTCTACTTTAAAACGTCCGCATTGTGCAGAATCGACATCTATTCTATTAAGTAGTGTGAAAAAAGTTCGTCCAACGATTACACCAAGAAAAACAACAAGTTTAAATCGAGACATTATAAATAATGGTATGTATGTTATAGAACAGAAATCTTTGCTGATAACGACTTTTCATACTTGCAGTGGATTCAAAGATTCTAATGTAAATAATATTTAGTAAACGTGGCATGAACGAACACTAAGTGGAAAACAGTATACTCTAACAGAAATTAATATTAGACCTTGGAATGGAGATCGCACATATTAGCCTTTATATCACTTTGTCGCATATTGTGGGATCGATGAAGTTTCTGAATAGGCAGATTTCTCGGCAAACTCTTGAATCTGTGTATTACGCCTTCGTGTTGAGTATTCTCAACTATGGAATCAATTATATCCTGATCGGTATATAATTTCAGACTATATCCGGTTCGGGATATAAAAAAAATTTGCTGTAAAAAATGATATCCCGATCGGGATGTATATCCTGATTGGGCGTACATCCCGGTCAGGATATGTCTCCACACTGCCAGAGGTGGATTAGAAAAGTCACCGACGTGTACATGCAGCTTTAGCAGAGAGACTACTAAACACTTTTTCATGGACTGTGCTCTTTATGACAGATCTTGTAATCTAATGTTTGAGGAGCTGCGTCCTTAAAGATAATCATATTACGTTGGAGCATATACTTTTGAAACATGAATCTATCCGAGTACTGCCTAAGCAGGATCTAATATGAGTATACACAGTCATCATCTAATTTATTGATACCACCGGAAGATTCAATCAGTCATGATGTACTAAGCCTCCGTGAGTACGATGTCACATGGATAGAACGGATCTTAGAGGTCGATTCCCATTTCTCTCTCTTTTCATTAACACTACTACAATCTCTCTTCTCTATATACTCATTTTGTTCTATAGTGTTTATGTAGAATCCGGCATAGAATGGGGTATCCCATATATTTGTTTCTTTTTTTGTCGTACTTTTTTTACTATTATTTCGTGAATAAAAAACGTTTAAAAAAACAAAAAAATTAATATTACAGAGACACAGAATCTATTATTAAATTGTGTCTAAAATTTGAATAGTATTTTATGCTAGCTTCTACTTGTATCTATTCAGAAGTGCACTCATCATCTTCTATACAGTGTGATTTTGAACAACCAAGTACAACAACAACGGAAAAGTCTTCTTCTTCCCTTAAATGTGAACCACGATCATCTGTATCCGATACAACATCAACAAAACCACCTTCTGCTACGGCTGATATAGCATCCCTTAGTTGTAGTTATCTTGGTACATTATCTAGTCGAAATCGAGATGTATTATCACAAGTTTGTTTACAAATTGCTCATCAATCAAAATTAAAATTTCATTTTATTCAACGAAAAGATGTTGAGAAAATGAAATTAATTGGATTAAATTTAAGTAATCAAAATCAAAAATCTTTTACAAAACCATCTACAACAAATCAATCGGATAAACAAAACGAAAATAGTACTTTAAAACGTTCTACTGATCGTTTAAAAATTGAAAGTCAAAATAAAACACCAGTTGAAATTAAAGTTTTATTTAAACGTCAACAATTAGAACAGATTAATGAGGTTAGATTAAAATTTCATTTTTTATCAATAGAAAAAAGTTAAACAATTTATCTTATTTAGGAAACTGAACGATTTACTGATTGTGAGCCAATAACCGTATCTGGATCATCATTAATTGATTTTCTTATTGGTAATTGTAATTTTGGTTTATTTCGTACGACGGAAAAGCAATCTGTTGGAAAAGAAATCATTGGTAATGCCATATGTCAACGAAGTGCATTACCTTCATCGCATTATCGATTCTGGCGTAAACGAATAAAAAAATATAAATATCAAGGTCGTCAATTAGTCTATCAAGTACAACGTTGTGGTCTAATTTTAACAAAACATCAAAGTCCAATAACAAGTTTAAAATTTTATCGTGGTATTTTATATTCATGTTCACTTAATGGATCGGTACGATTTCATTTTACTCAATCTTTAAGATCATGTTTAAATCATAAACCAATAGTAACACCAAATGGTGGTACACAATCATTACAATTAGTACATTCTGATCGTTTTAATAGAACAGTGATATGTGTAGCGGGTTTTGATCAAATTTTACGCGTTTATTCAATGAGTAGAGATCATCAATTGAAGGGACAAATATTTGTCGGAGCACCTGTTCATTGTACAACTGTCAAATTTAAAATATTATTTGCCGGCTTAGGAAGTGGAGAAGTAGCTTTTATATCAACAAGAAGAGTAAGTGTCAAGTCATTTTTTTTCTTTTTTCTTTTTGGATTTGAGATCTTAAGTGTACTCTTCTTCTTTTTTTATAGTTATGTGTTATTCATACAATAAAATGTTCAGCATACGTCATATCATCAGTGAGTGCTGCATTTGATCCCGATAAACGTCGACTATTAATGGCATCATCTGTTGATGGTTCAATCATTGTTATATCATTAGTCAATGAAGAACGTCGTCTAGTTTTAGAAGGTAAAATAATGATTATTCTTGTTCAATCTCTAATTTTAAAATTATCCTTTATTTAGGACATAAAAAATCTCCACGTAATTTAATTGTTGATCAAGAAAATTATCATTTGTATAGTTGTTCAGCTGATAAAAAAATAATTGTACATAATTTTTTGACTGGTGAAATTATTTATACATACGAAACATTTGATAAAGCAGTAACAAGTATAGCAATGAATCAACAACAAAATCTTTTAATATCATCAAGTCTCGATGGTATTGTTAAAATATTTAATACGATAACACATGAATTAATTCAACAATTAACAACACATACAAGTCAATCAATTATAACAATGATTTATAAAAATGGATTTGTATTTATATTTCAAAATTAGAAAATAATTAAAAATAATATTTTCTTTTATTTCTCTAGGTTTATTGTGGAATGGAAAGTGGAACTATTGAAGCTATTCAATGTGATATAAATGTTGTATATCGTTGTCAAGTAATAAATAATAATTCTAATTAATATATGATTCAATAGAATCAATAGATTTTCTTTTTTAGTATGCTTCATGTCGTCAACCGTTTTCTCGTCGTGAAGATGTATTTTTACATGCAAGATTATTTCATGTTCAACATTCATCAACGGTATTTATATATTTTTTGTAATTTCTAAACTAAATTATAAAAATTAAACATTCTTGTATTGTTTATGTTTTAGGTACAACGTTGTCTATGGCATAAATGTATGAAATGGATAGCGATTAAAAAATTTGGTGAACATTTACGTGAACATACAGAGGGTCTTCATCTCGAAGAAAAACAAGTTGATTATGAGAATAATTCAAATAAACTCTGTCCTACTATTTCTTCTCTACCATCGTCTTCTACTTCGTCTTCTATAACATTATTGAGAAGAGCCATTTCGAAAACTGTTATTTTATGAGCTTCTTTTTTTCAAGTTTGTATTTGTATACTTGGTGTTTGTTTTTGTTATAAATTGTGTATTGATATAAAATAAAACGTGTAATTAGATAGGTTAGCCAATTAGATGATCAGTGACTCTCTACAGCTAAATTCTTCCTTCAATCTCTAGTGGTATTTCAAATATAATTCTTAGTCACCATAATTGATGTTCTATATGACCAACCCTTTCATCCCTATTAGAAACTTACTCGTCTCAGAAATAGACTGTAGAAAATCCCTTTAGTTAAAAGAATACGTTTGCAAAATAAATTATTTAAGATCCGATGTTGTTATACAAAAATAAGCTGATATTTATTTATTTGAAATCATGAGGTACAATTGCAATCACAAAGGGTGAACTGCAATGTTGAATAATTATACTTATCAATTTATAGATTGATGCTAAAAATACTATAACTTCTCATTTGAAATTATTTATTTGTGTTTTTCTTACTAAACCTTTAGGAATAAAGTTGCCTTATTTTTCGAAAATAAGAGAATTGTTAGTCTAGCAATTCGTTAGTCGCGCAAAATTCTGATCGCTCTAATAGAAAAGTATGTTATTAAATTAATTTTATAATTTCTCGACTGTTTCGTCGATCATTTCAAATAAAGATCAATGTCAGTTGGTTAACGGATAAAAGCGTTCGTTCGAGAGACGAAGTTCGGATTGATAATAAATTATCATTCCTAGATGTAATTGTAGAACGACTTTGATGATTTTGACGTGGAGAGTCCTTTCATAAATTGAATGCAGTTCAATGAAAAAATGTCGTGGAGAGTTCGGCAATGTCTAGTTTTGTTCAGAAATAGTTGCTCTACAAGAATGGGCTATTTACAAAAAGGTTTCGTTGGAATTGCGGGACTTGATTTTTTTGGATTTTCCAGAATTTTGATTTTCCAGGGACCTGGTTTGCAGGAATTTTAATGGAATTTTCATATACACTTCATCTGATTATAAACTCTTTCAGTTGTTCAAATCTTTTTTCACACTTGTTCTAACTATTATGGTCGAGGAGAAAACTTAAAAATAAAGGTGGACACTCAATTTTGGTCGCCACTGTAGATACAGTTTGCCTGTAATTAGATAATGTACGACTAGTTGTGATCTAGATTACTAGTTTAACTAGATGCGTCTGTATGTGCAACTAGCAATAGTTAAATCGAGAGATAAATCGATAGATGCAACTGAGGAATAATCTAGCAATCGCCTGATTACTACATTTTTACTGTCGTTAGTATATTTGTTCGATAACGTTAGCTAATAGAAGTAAAACCATACTCCAGCATCCATTGAGACAAATTGTATTCGGCTTTAAAGCAGGAAATAGACTATCTAATCTTATGAATGCAATATTTCGAACGTCAAGAGATGAAAATAAGGTTGTCTGAAGTTCTCTAGAATAGTCGTTCATGAACTCCTGGCGGGTCACTGCTATAACTGATCGGCATCTATTTTAGCTATTGAGTATAATATCATGCAAAGAACAATAAAAGAAAGTCTACGTATGGGGACGCGTTCAAGAGCAAAAAAACATGTTTGTTCTTAGAAGAGTTTTATTCGTAATGTGTTTTCACCTCTGTCATTCAGTTACATATATGTCAAAGTTCTTTTCTGTGCTCTATATGCAGATTTTTTACTTCAAATATAGTTTTCTCCTTGTGCATTTCAAGCATTCGACTACTGATGTCAGAAGTAAAAAAACTGGCGAATTTAAATGGCGAAATTAAACTGACGAAATGTCTCAAGTAAAAGATATTTAATATAATGTTAAAAAAGGTGATTTTATTCCTAACTGATGCAAAACTGAAAAAAATCTTGTATGGTTTAGGATACTTTTTTTTCGGTGTGCGTACTGAAAATTCAATTGTTTGATAAATCAGCAAACAATTACTTTATTAGAGAATATCAATTTTCTGTAATATATCTTCAATAGCAACAAAGAAAATGTTCAAATCGTTCGTAAATAAGACAGAACATATTTTCATTGATTATCGATTATATTTTTGATCCATGGAAGATAGGCTGACACTCTTGTATAGACGTTTGGCGCCAAAGTACCATGAGTCTTACAATCAGCCACATAGCTGGCAACACCCGAAGCAATCCATTGACCGTTTCGTTTTGTCATGACCGGTCCGCCGGAATCACCTAAATTGATTGATAATTAAACAAAAATTGAGAAATAGTTATTTTATAGGTATACCTTGACAAGCTGAATGACCTTCTGTAGGATTTGCAATACACATTTGTTTTGAATTATCGATTCTCCACCATCTTTCGCATTCACCTACAACTTTCATCCAAGCTTGTTTCAGTTGATGATACACTTGACCACCCAATGCTTCAGATCCCCATCCTGCGACTAATTTTAAAGAGAGAGAAATATAGAGATGATGTTTTGAAACGTTCCTATTGTACTGATGTTTTAGTCACACTTACTTGCTACATCCTCATTAATTTCTGGTTCCGGTCCTGGTAAACAGATTGTATTCACATATTTATTAGTTGTAACTGGTTTGGACAAACGCACTATAGCTATATCATCTGGATGAGATACATTGTTATATCCAGAATGAACAAATATTTTTTCAACTTGCATGACTTGTCTCGTCTCTTCATGAATCATTTTATTATGAATACCAGCGGTTATTGTGATTGATGATGGATCCCGTGTATTGACGCAATGTGCAGCTGTTAAAACATGACGAGCATCAATTAAACTTCCACCACAACTACCGGTACAAACGTAGGCTGGATTAAAATCACACGGCTTTCGTTCTTCGTATAGCACGATAAACGGCCATGAATTAGGGATAGCATGTGTTCCACCGAAAATACGTGTGTTTGGCAATGGACTTATTTCTGATCGTCCACATGTAGTACTATCAATGGGTCGTGGAGCTGCTGTGGTCGTTGTTGTTTGCTCAAATGAATCTGTTGGACAACAATAACGAGCTTCAAAATCAATCATTGGTGTTGTGCTTGAAAATTCTGTTATTGCTCCATTTTGATCGGCTTGAAGAGATAGTTGAACATCTCCACTGAAAGTATTCGTTGCTCTACCCTGAATTATAGACGGTGCCAAACACATTTGATTTGGATACATTTGTTTAATTATTGCTATTACTTCCCGATCACCTGAAGTACTGCTAGGATGTCCTACATTGAACCACGTTGTCCATGCCTTTCCATTTGTACAACTACTTTCGGTTAAACCTGATGGATAAATGAAAGTATTTGCACTAGATCCAATGATATATACAGTAAAAATGTATGTTACGATGGAGAACAACATGTTTGACAAAAGATGATGTTGCGTTTTTCAGAAATGAAGCTTTTATATATTTTTAAAAAATACTTGTCTGAGTCCTGTTAATCTTTTTATATTTAAAATATAATTGAGAAAAAATCTTTCTTATCACTTGTTTGGAATGTTTTTCAGTAATATCAAGGCCATCCGTTTATTATGAATGAAAAATACATTCTAAGAAAAGCAAATAAATTTCACCAATTCTGTGATTTCTTTTTTAAATGAATTACATGTACTTCCAGTATGTTATATAGAGGAGTAACTACCTTCTGTGTACGTGTTAGTTCATTCACAAGAATATCCATATAAAAGATGAGCATTTAACTAAAGTATACATATAATATAGCATTTTAGAATGATTCTCCACGAGTATCCGACTATTTGTTGATGCTTACATTATCATACTTCTAAAAATAAATATTAACACAGACAGGTCCTGCGGAAGGTTAAAAATCGTCATTTCCTATACTAATATTCATTTCAAAAAGCTGTGTACTCACTCTTTTTTTAATTAACTTTTTAACAAAAATCAATTCAGATCTCCAGTTTTTTCCGTTCGACAGAGGCAATCGGGACAGATATCTTTATCAAAAAAAGATTTAAATTCTTTTCTCTAAGTCAGTTTTTCTCTTGATCTCCTTTATTGAATGAGATCTGGATCGATTTTTGTTAAAAAGTTAATTGAGAAATGGACGAGTGTACAATTTTTTGAAATAGATAATAATTTAGAGTCAGCATTTCCATCGGTAATATTGCGAATGACATCTACAGGGAAGATTTTTGTTAAGAAAAAGCTTTTTCGTTCTTCTTTTTGAATCAAATTTCACTCGTTAACAAGATATTAATCTTTACTAATCAAAAGCTTCATAGAAATGAATGTTGGTCATTCGTTGGACAAAAATTCTGTGATATTAATTAATTTCGAATTAATTACGCGCCTATGAGGTAAACTATGTTGTCAAACTATGATCAATATTTAACTTATAAATTGTAATTATGGACTTTTCATTATTTCCTGCCATTAATAAAAAAACATCGATGTATTGACCACTATCACAAGTTCTCCATCACATCGCCAGTCAAATATCCTCATGGAACAACGTTATTTGGATTTTCTAGCTTCATTAAGTATCGTTAAAGATGAAAAATTACGTGAGAAGTGTTATCAGGCATGGATTCATTTATACAAGTATTATGATCATTCAGCTATTAATGAATTAAACTTACGAAATAAAGTTCAACATTTATCAGAATTGTTATATAAATTAGATCAAGATCAATCGAGTCTGAAATCTAATTTAATTCATAGAGTTCGATACTTAATGAAATTAGGCAAGAAAACATTCTATGAACTCTATGAGAAATGGCATAATAAACTATGCCTTAATCAACAACTAGATAAAGAAATTTCATATTTAAAACAAAAACGAATGATTTTAATTAATTTAATTCATTCGTTGATGAATCAAGACGGTAAAAACATGGATAGATAAGTAATTTGAGTAGTTTTGCTCTTCATACCTAGGATTAATAAAACGAACATCTCGATCAAAGACATCACTAGTTGAATTACAAAGAATTATATTAAATTTACAAAATGAAATACGAATGATAGAATCAAAACGTAAGTTTATGACAAACAATTATTTCTGAATATTGCATTGGTTCAATATTCAAATTGTTATTATCTAACTCTAACGAAATATTCTTCTGTTTTTGTTTAAGCATGTTATATTAAGAATGTTAATATTGAAAAAAAGTTCAATTTATATTTTTGTCGTTTAGATACAACATATGAAAAAGAACTGACTATTCAAAATATGAAATATTTTCGTTTAACTATACAATTAAATTCGTTAAATGAAAATATTCAATATTATAAAGTCGAATTTAATGATTATATGCAACAATTTTACTATGATTTAAATTGTATTCATCGCAAAACACAAGAAATGATAAAAATTAAAGAATTAAGCCATAATTTAGAAATAAATCAACAACAACAACTCATTGTTGATTTAAAATCAATTGTCAATGAAATCGCAGTAGAAGCAAAATTACAAGTTGATTTAAAATGTGCAAATAAACTGATGGATAATAATATTACATCGAATCAATCAACAATTGAAAATAATCAAATTAAAAAAATAGAAATGGCAAATAAATTAACAGAATTAGATAAAAATATTGAGATACATCTAAAAATAATTGAACATGAAAAATATATGAAACAACAAATTAAACAAGATAAATTTAATATTTTAAATGACATAAAACGAAACCAACATCATGTCGTTGTTCAAAAACAGCAAAAATGGATATTACAGGTTTAACTAACATTTTCCAGTCAGAGATAAAGAATAAAACTTTATACTTTTTCTTTTTTCTTTATATAGAATCGTGTTATAATGTTACAAAGTGAAATTGTTCAATCAAATAATAATAATACCAACAATGTAGAATCATCTTTACAAACGGATAAATTAAAATTAATTAAATCAAAACAAAAATTCGATAAACAAGTTCAACATGAATTTCGGCAACATTTAGCGAAAAAAGATCTTGTTGAAAAAATAGAAGAAATGAAAATTGATGTTGAACATAATAAAAATTTAGTCAAACATCAACGTGCGAAAGTAAACAAGAAAAGTTTATTCTCTAACAGTGTAAAGAACTCTTAAATGAAAAATATTTACTACTGTGAACGATTTTTAAAGTGATTCCTAAATATAAAAATGATTTAGGAACTCTGTTTATAAAAATCCTGTGAATGTTCAGTCAAACTAACAGAGTATGTGATAATCATTCTCAAAAAAACTCTTTTCCATTCTTTCCAATACTTAAAAATGTTTAGAAATTCTCATAAATCCTTCGAGATTTCATCTGACGACATTCTCCTAAATTCTTCTCAATTAAACGTTAAAACTTAACTCAAAAATCTAAAAAGATTCTTAACAACTTAGTTTATCAGAACTTCTAAATCGTTTTGAGTATTTGAAAGAATGGAAAAGAATTTTCGAGAATGATTACCACACTACTGTTAGTTTATCTGAACGTTCAAGGAATTTGAGGATTTCTAAATTATTTTTATGTTTAGAATTCGTTTCAAATACCTTTTAGAAAATATTTCAAGAATTGATGATGTGAAATAGATAAATTCTTCTCTTTTTAGATCGTTGGTTATGAACGTTTACACGACAAATGGATATTGACATTTGATAATAGTCGTGAACATTTACTGAAAATATTTGATCGCTTTTCATCCATTGAAAATTTGACACAGCAAACAATTTTATTATTTGAAGATTTAAAAAAACAACATAAAACAATTCGATCAAAAATTATATTTGAATACAATGAGATATACATAACAAACGAGAAGAAAAATAAATTATTTGATCAAAACGATTTAAATGTGATAAATACTGATGAGTCCAAACATTTAATTATGTTAAAAATAAAACAAATGGAGAAATATTTACGATCAACATCCGAAAATTTACAACATCATACACAGAAATTGAAATTTATTCAAGAAAATATGATTATCATTCGACATCAAATACCAAATATAAATGCAAACATATTTGAATTGAAAAGAAAAAATAATCAAATTGATCAAAAATTATTGAGATTTCAAGCATTAATTTCAAAATCAGAATATGCATATAAAATGTTACAACAAACGAATATTAATGAATCGATCTTTATTCATCAGAAAATTCTCCAACGTGATATATTAACACGAAAACTACTCTTTGCAATAAAATTAATAATATTAGTCAAAGGAAAATGTTCATATTTTACACATTTGTTTACAATGGGAACTAAATATTTGAGTAATATT